GGAAGAGATGAACTATTCGCGCCTTTCGCGCGTACTTCGAATAAGCGATCATCGATCGTTATCATTTGACACGAGGAAACGGCAAGACGAACCCAAATATTTCGAGCAATGCAGTTTCGTGAACACGTGGGAAGAACAACTCGGCCACGTGAGCGTGTTGGCTTTTTTGGATCCTGCCTGGCAATATAGCTTCAGACAGGCCGTCATGTAAGTTGTAAGATTTCATAAACGACAAAAATCTCGACGCGATTTTTCACTACGTTAATCGATCAATTTAGGCTGAAACTATTGAGCTCGCGTTTGCGGAAATCCGGTTTCACGGATATCCGGTTTTTCGTGATAGCACCGCCGCCCGATTTGACAGAAGACAAGACCGAGGACAATTATGAGATTGAAGCGTGGCGGAAAATAGCAGCGATGTATGAAACGAAGGATCTCGCGAACGCCAATGATCTCCTTTTCCAGGATAGCAGACCGGAAATAATCTTTTTTCAAGACGGTCCCCAGTATCGTACATGGGAGAAGTTTCGTGCGTCGAAGGACCAAGTAGTCGTCATCGATCGGTGAGTGAGATTCGACAACTAATTATTTCTTTCATCGCGTTTTTTTATTAGATATTACATTTTCCTCTCGCATAGCGTTTTCGCTAATTTCACAATAAACATTATAATTCGAGGAATTATATATTTATCTTGACTTTAGGTAATCTGTAAAAAAATTTGAAATATTAGTTTATATATATAATACACGACTACGAAGTCTAAATTAATATTACCAAAATGATTTAAGATGCGGGAAATTAACGTATCAGGTCATGGTGCCGTGGAGTATTTTATATTTTCCTTATGTGAAAGCGGCTATTCTGTCCACGTATCAGGAGGACCCATGCGGTGGATGCGATGTGAGCGCATTTTTTTAACACGTTAACACGTTTAACACTTTTTATTCGCGTATAACAAGTTATCTATCGTTTTAAAATATGATTTTAGCCCACCATGTATCAAGCTCTAGATTACGAAAATTATTTCCCGAATTTAAGAAGCACCACTGCTAAAGAAACAGATCCACATGAAACCGATAACGTTAACGCCGATCTAATCTGGACCACCGAACGGTGGTCTTCGGAAAACGACAGCGTACATCTTGAGGAGTCACTAAGAGAGGAGTACGAAGCTAGTATCGTATCTCCTGTTATCTCCGACAAAATAACATATGATAACGATGACCCTCTGAATTTCTCCAGCATGACGGAATCATCGGTGGTGTCTGAAACTGCTTATCGATACGATAATAGTATGACCGAGTCTTCTCTTAACGAGTATAATCCCAAAGAGACGCAGATACGAGAGGATTCGAAGAATGGTACAGCCTCCGGCGAAATAGAAGAGTTACAGCAAGACGTTCCTCCGAGACAAGACGAATCTACGTTGATGAGCGATAATTCTAGCGAGAATGCGAGCGATCACGCCTTATCGACGAGTGAATCAACAGCTGACGAAATAAAAAACGAATTCATTTCTACGACAGAAACAATTTCAGATACCGCGGGAGACGAGATTCGAGATAATGACGAAGATGCGGACGCCGAGTACGAACAAAACGATTCAGTTGGTAATAATAATGTCCCCAATGATATCCAACCATAAGCTGAGGATCGTTATTTAATTCGACGAATCGTTATTTCGCAGGTAAAAATATTGGAGCGGAGGAGAACGCGTTATCGTTACAGGTGATTATGCGCGCACCGCACGTACATAGAAATGGAAGGAAGACGGGGAAGCACACGCATTTAATACTAAAGATCGGCGATCCCGATTTTCACGGACATCTGGACAATTTTAAAGACATTGATCTTCAAATCGCAAGCTCCGAAAAAAACAATTCGGAAATCATCGAAGCGGATCAAGAGAACACCGATCAAACGTATACATTCGATAAAGACGAAAGCCCGGGATTGTACGGAGAAATAGCGGACTATTGGAGAGATTGCGAAAACAGCGATGACACTAATAAAAATGAGTCGCTTAACAACGATACTTATAATAATTCTACGGTAATAAAATCCCCACAAAAACTTGTATTTATAGCATATATATATATATATATATGCAGTAGAATTCGGATGACTTTTGCAGTATGGGACTAGAAGAATGAAAAATTTCTGAACATAGTAGATTCCTCTGAATTAATTCTCTGTAACTTCGCTATTTGATATTTCTTCTGTACTCTTGGAGATAGCACGACATGTTGATAAAAATGCATGCAAAAGACTATCAAAGTTGTTCAAAGATTTATACTGCATATTTATTTATGTATTTTATGTATAAAACATTTTAGTGCAATATCTTATTAATCGTTCATGTTTGACAGTATATTCGTTAATTTAACATTGATTTTAATTATTTAATTTGCAGATAAGTTATAACGAAAAACATCATATCGATATCAGCAGCCACACGACGACTTCGTCAAAATCATCAGAGATAAACGAAAATTATTCAACAACAAATATTACAATAAATGCTCATATTAATAACTCTACTAATTTACAAAATACCGTTAGATTAGACAAGACTGATTCTTCGATTAGTACAAGTAATGAGATCAATAAGAAAAAAGAGATGCGAAATAATCTAATCAAGCATTACAATAAACTTTTATCTTGGATTGATTATAGATTAATAAAATAAATCTTTGCACTCATTTAAAAATGCCATTTGATTAATGAAAATTGTTTTACCTTATATTACAAATGAAAAATGTTACTCCAATAAAATGATCAATGTTGCCATTTTATTCAGGTTCATTTAAATCATCAGAGTCAAGACTGCTGCTACTGCTGGTGGTACTGCTACTTGATGTAGTACTGCTTTCAGAATCTGTTTCAGAATCTGTATCACTGCTATTCGTTGAACTTGTATTGCTCAATAACCTGCATTCATATACACAGTAATTAAAAAAGTAAGAATTTGGCTTGAGTAATTAATATTATAAAAACTTGCTTCAATCATACATATATATACTCGGATCTAAATTAAATAAATATCAAGGTATTCTATTTTTTTTTTTTTTTTTTTTATATTAGAGCAATGATTATATTATGTCGAGTATTAGTTATTATGTAACATGTAATCAAAAAAATTAGATATCATCTACACATCATGAAGATAATATAAGTTAAATGTGAATATTAGATAAATATTAGAAATAATACACAAAGAATAAATGTTAGCAATGTTAAACACACACATATATTAAAGACAGCTGTTAACAATCAAACCAAATATATATAAAAATACTTACAAATGCTTAAAAAATTGTTTGTTAACATGATATATATTCTTTGGCCTTTAAAACAAAATTATAGAGTATATAAAATATGAAGACAAAATTCGAGAAACTTTATAAAATATTAACTCTGTACTTACTTTTCTTTCTCAGAATCATTTAAACACAATTCATCGATTTGTCCAACCATCTCATGAACAGCATTTTCTATAACAAGTCCCTCTTCTTGAACAGAATAAGCTGCCACTTCCAGTTCTACTAAATCCAATCCCATGCTTGCTTTGCTTGGATGAATCTTTATAAGATAATAAAAATTTAGATATAAAGAAAATAATAGAAATGCTAAATAAGTATATTATAAATATAATTTTTTTTAACTTACATTATTTAACATAGAGTGAAGTGGTTCTATTAATGATTCAGGAGATGCTTGCAGCCAAATTAAAAAGTCCTTTATGTATAATTGGTTTAATATGTATCTTGGTTCATACGAGTTGTTAAAAAGACTATGTATTTCACAGAAGACTTTGATAATATATTTCTTTCCTGCATGTACATAAAAATGTTTAAAGTAGTAAAAACTTACCAAGAGAAACAGTTATCCCAACATATCCCAATTTATACTGACCTAATGTGAGAGCTTTTTTAACATCTTCGAAAACTTTCATAGAAAGCTCCCAATTTCTGTAAAGTGGATAACAAAGTGATCTTCGGAAGCATGCAGTAATAACTTCATCCACAGAAGTAAAATTCTGAAAATATTTGATAGATTAGTCTTTTAGATACCTTTTCACAAAAGAGACATCATCACTAATTAATAAACATACTTGGAACCAACATAATGTAGAGCTTAGCTTATTAATGGTCCAACTGCTTTCTACAGTATTTTCTCCTAATGTAGTTCGATGGTTGTAACAACTGGCATATAAAATATCAATAAGATTTAAACATAACTTTTTTATATCTTCAGCATCTAATAAATATTCCTTATTTGGAAGATCTTTTAATAGATCAATCTCAGCTTCGCTAAATGTAACTTTGTCTTTCTGCAGCATATCCCATTCTGCTGTATACGCTATATATGATTCGGTACATTCTGGCTCCATAAGATCTGCCATATAATGTTCTTCATTGAAATCTTCCAATTCACATTTTTCTTGCAAACTTTTTCTTTCTGCTTCAGGAGTTGTATCAGGGGTGGGAAGATCTATTATTTCCTTAATCCATGCTGCCTTAAAATTTCCCCCCAGGAAAATATATATTATTATTATACAGTATAATCAATTTAATTTAATCTTAATAAAAAAATCTTTGGAAAAGATTCATATCTTACATGCTTATAATAAATGAATTAACAATAAATTTTATCACACAAGAGATAAAATATTATAAAAATATACCTCAAAAGCAGTTAAAGCTCCTGATATTTTATTCGCAAAACCATACTTTGGAGAGCCTATAAGAACAGTTACATTTTCTGATGGATTATTCTGAGGTATGAACCAGTTATCATCAGGATCATCATTATTTGTGGTATCATTGTCATTTAAACTGTCGTCAATATTCGCTGAATTTGTAGATGGATTACCTAAAATTAAGTGAAAGAGATACATCACAAACTATATATACCATGCTATATTATATATATATATATATATATACACACACAATATATGTCTAGAGAATACAAAAAATGTATATTTTTTTATATCATGTTTATAACTTACCAATTACTTCAATATTAGGAATGACAGTACTTTTCTTTTTTGGTGGTGCCAAAAGAACAGTTATCATATCCAAGTTTTCAAAGTGTTCTCCCTTATTCACTTTTGAGAAATGTAAAGTAAAATCACCCTTTTCGCAATCGTAAGAACCAGAAGACGAATTATTTTCCTCTATTTCACCTGGTAATTGTAATCTACGAAAATCATTCAGTATATATCCTATATATAGAGATCAAGAGATCACTCGCAATATAGTCAGGTTTCTAGATGATGGTTTTAATTCGCGCAATTACCTCAAGTAATAGGGAGTGGAAAAAAATCTGAAATCTGTTCCATCGACGTATACTTCTGTATCTTTTATATTGGCATACGGAGCGTGCATTGTTATCGTGACTTCTGCATCAGTTTGAGTGATTTTGAAGCGTGGAGTCAACATTTTGCGATGCTCCCGTGAATGTTACGAAATTCTTTTTATTTAAACAATATATGTATATACTTTATTATACAATGAGCATATATGCGTATAATTAGATAAATAACGAAAGAATTCTTAATATAACATATACTATTCGCAGCTCTGACAGGACATGACACACGCCATGCATGGACGTAGAAAATATCTGGACGGAGCGTGAACTATGAACAGCGCGAAAAAGATGACATCTTTAGATCGTGATTTAAGAAATTCCCTAAAGAGCCGTCATCTATCATCTAACTCTTTCC